TTCAGCTGTTGGTGGCACAATTAAGCGCTTTGCTGTAAAGGTGGGTGGTTTGAACCCACCCAGCAGCTGCACTGGAGAAGGAGCTGGTGATCTGTTCCCTTGAAGACTGCAGCCTAGGGAACCATGTGGGGGACTCCTGCTCTACCACATGGGGTCCCTGTGTGTCGCAGTCGACTCGATGGCATCCAGCAGCCACAAAGACAACAACTCAGATGACCCGGGATGAGCTTTCATCTCAAGATCCTTAATTACCTCTGCACTGTCCCCTTTGTCGTGGAAGGGAATATGTCCACAGGTTCCAGGGATTAGGACGTGTGTGTCTTCAGGGTCGTTACCCAGCTGACCATGGGGAGAGACAGACCATCAGTCATAAACAGAACAAGTGAATTGGATGGTGTGTCAGAAGGTGGCAAAGCTACAGAAAACCGGAGCAGCGTAAGGAGGATGGGGAGCTCCCGGTGGTGCGGGAGAGGCAGGCTGTAATTTGAAAGATGTGGTCAAGGTGAGCCTCACTGAGACTGTGGCGTTTGAACAAAGTCTGAAAGGAATACAGAGGATCTGCTCTGGCAGCGTCTGGGGAGAGAGCGCTCCGGGGGCGTCAGGGCCAAGGCCCAACGGTGAGTGCTGCCAGGAGAGGCTGGAGCAGAGAGAGTAAGGTGGTGATGAGCCCAGCACTGTGGAGCTGCTCGGTAGAGGTTCCCGTCCCTTCCTGGTGGGAGATTCAGAGATGGACAACACGCCCCGTCCTCGGCACGCTGATGGTCAGGTGCGGAGAGTGATGCGTGCATAACCGTCTTGTACAGTCAGGGGTTCTTTCAGCTCTCATAACAACCCCACGGAGGAGGAGCTGCTGCTCTTCCCATTTTATAGAGGGCAGACCCAGAACACAGAGAGGGTAGGTGATCCATAGAAGGTCACACAGCTGGGCAGTCTCAGAGCAGGGGTCCATGTTCATAACATACAGCCATGTCTCGGAGATATGGTGGGTTCAGTTCCAGGTCACCACAATAAAGCAAATATCACAATGAGTCACACAAAATACTTGGTTTCGCAGTGCATATAAAAGTTACGTTTACACGATATTGTGCTCTATTGTGTCTGTTAAGAAAACGTTTGAAATATTCTGAGAACTACCAAAATATGACACAGAGGCATGAAGTGAGCACAAGCTGTTGGAAAAATGGTGTCAATAGACCTGCTTGAGGCAGGGCTGCCACAAACCTTCTATTTGTAAAACATGGAAAATCAATGAAGGGCAGCAAAGCAATGTACCATAAAACGAAGCGTGCCTGTACTTAGCGTCTCCGTCTCCACCTGGGCCTTGACCTAGACGTTGCCCTCAGTCTTGACTCCATCACATCTCATACAGATACGTAGAAAAAAAGACCAAAACCAAACTCATTGCCATCAAGTCAAACCCGACTCACCCTCCTTGGGTTTCCGAGGCGGTATCACTATGGAAGTGGATTGGCCAGTCTTCCTTCCAAGGAGTGGCTAGTGGGTTTGAACCACCAGCCTTTCGGTTAGCAGTCAGATGCCATAGGCACCATGCCACTGGAGCTCCCAATAAAATAGCAGCGTTGGTTATCCCTGCTCATTGATATTGGATCCCAGGTATTTTAAAGATTTTCTTTGTTCTTCACTCTTTTTTTTTTTTAATAGACTTTCTGCCAATAAAAGAGTCATTTTTATTATCATAAAAAATACATTTACTTTTTTTTCTGTATTTTTTGTCTACCTCTAGTTAGTGGTTTACCCTCCCCTCCCCACTCACCCCATGTAACCATTCACTTTTCTTGCAATAGTGATCTCATACGATATCTGTCCTTTTGTGATTGACTAACTTCAGTCAGAAGGGACCATTCCCTGGAGAAGGATATCACCTTGGTAAAGTGGAGGGTCAGTGAAAAAGGGGAAGGCCCTCAATGAGATGGATTGGCATAGTGGCTGCAGTGATGGGCTCAGGTATAGCAAGGATCGTGAGGCTGGCACGGGACCGGGCAGTGTTTCGTTCTGTTGTACGTAGGCTTGCTATGAGTCAGAGCTGACTTGATGGCACCAAACAACAATTTCAGTTAGCAAAATATCCTCTAAGTACATCCATGTTATGAGGTATTTCACAGATTGGTCATTGTTCTTTAATGTTGTGTGGTATTCCATGGTACGTGGACCATAGTTGGTTGATCCATTCCTCCTTTGATGGATGTTTAGGTTGTTTCCATCTTTTGCTGTTGTGCACAGAGCTGCGATGACCATGGGTAGTCAAGTAAGAGCCATGCCATGAACGGACGTTACCTCGTCCAGGCTGTGAGTTGGGTTGCAAACTCTTGTCTGCCGAGAAAGGTTCTCTTGGGGCCATTTTGATGAGTGGGGACCTTCAGAGTGTGTGGCCACAAGACATCACTCACCCTGCACCCTGGTTTCCTCCTCTTTGAAGGGAGCATGTGAACCACACGGTATCAAGTGTCTCATGTGGCTCTTACTTCTCTAGGATATATACCTAGGAGTGGGAGTGCTGAATCATGCGTATTTCTATTTCCAGCTCATTAAGGAAGTGCCATACCGCTTTCCATGGTGGTGGCACCACTTTACAGTCCCACGTCCCACCAGCGGTGTATGAGGGTTTCACTCTCTCCATACCGTGGCCTGCATTTGTTGTTTTCTAAAATACATTTACTTTTAAAAATTTGTGGGATACCAGATGTGGAGGTCAGACAAAGGGGGCATCCATGGTGAGGTCAAGGTTTTCTAACCTAAGTTCTAAGTTCTCTTGGGTGTCTGGTTAGGGTGAAAGCCTTAGCGGAGAGAGGGGGCTTTGACGTCCTAGGCCAGTCCTACTTAACAGAAACATAATGCAAGCCACATGCATACTTTCAAATTTCCTAGTAGCCACATAAAACTGTAAAAAAAATAATAATAATGCAATTAATTTTGATAATATATTTTATTTAACCCAACATAGCCTACTATTATTGTTTCAATGCATTATAAATATAAAAATCACTAATGAGATATCTACATTCTTTTTGCCGTTGCTGTTTGTACTAAGTCTTAGAGACGCAGTGTGTATTTTATACTCACTGCAGTGTTTCACAGAATATGCCATAGACTTCCAGAAGTATGAACTAATTTGTGGGAAGAAGTGAGAAGTGAGACGTGGTCTCTCGTACCTTGAACACGTTACTAAGAGGGACCCGTCCCCGGAGAAGGACATCATTCTTGATAAAGCAGAGAGTCAGCAAAAAAAGGGGGCAGACTCTCAAGGAGATGGGTGGGCACAGTGGCTGCATCAGCAGCTCAGACATGACAACCAGGTGAGGACGGGCAGAGTAGGGTGGTGCTTGGTTCTCGTGTATGCAGAGTGGCTTTGAGGGGGGACTAACCTGACGACACCTAACAGCAGCAACAACACGATGGCTCGAGGAGCCTTGGTGGCGCAGTGGTTAAAGCTCATGGTCAGCTGTTTGAGCCCACCAACAAATGGAAGGTTTGTGGCAGCCCTGCCTCGAGCAGGTCTATTGACACCATTTTTCCAACAGCTTGTGCTCACTTTATGCCTCTGTGAAGCAAAAATATGAGGCAGTCTACTTCTATAAAGATTACAGCCTTGGAACCCTATGGGGCAGTTGTACTCTGTCCTGTAGGGTCGCTGAGTTGGAATCAACTCAATGACAATGAGTTTTTATGATGTCCCCCAGAAGGACACAAGGGGCTGAGCATCCTGGTATCCGGGCTTCTGACCAGGCCAACAGATGGGAGCTGCAGGTGGTAAGGGAGGGGAAGGAACCTACTCCCTGAGCACCCACTGTGCAGTCCCCATATTGACCAGGTGAGGAGGGGCTCTCCTTACCACCCCCATTTCACAGATGAATCACCTGAGGACCAGCAGGCAGAAAAGGTGTTCCCAGCACCACACAGACGTAGAGGCGCTCCCACTGCACCTGGGGGCTCACCGCAGTGCCCAGATGGGCCTTGGTTTGAGCTTCAGCTCTGCTCCCTGCTGTGTGACCTCAGGCATGTAGTGTACCTGTTCCCCCATCTGTGAAATAAGGGTGGTCCCTGCCTCGAAGTTGCTGTTAACAGCCAATGGAATAGAAAGTTTGTAAAATAATACTGAGCACAGGGCACACAGCATGCACACATGCACGTGCATACCTGCACACACATGTTCACACACGGGCACCCACACATGCACACGTACCCACACACACACACATGTATCCTCACACATGTGCACATGCATGTGTGTAGCCACACACACACGTTCACATGCACACGGGCACCCGCACATGTACGCATGTACTCACACACGTACCCACACACACACATGCACATGCACATGTGCACCTGCTCATACATGCACGCAAGCTGACATTTTAAGAGGATGTAAGTTGCACCAATGGAGCATTGACCACTAAATTTCGCATGAGACACTTGATACCGTGTGGTCCACATGCTCCCTTCAAAGAAGAGAAAACCAGGGAGCAGGGTGAGTGATGTCTTGTGGCCACACTCTCAGAAGGTCTCCACTCAGCAACATGGCCCCAAGAGAACCTTTCTCGGCAGACGGAGTTTGCAGCCCAACTCACAGACTTGATGAGGTAGCGTCCTGAGCCCCTTCCATCCCCCTGGGGCAGACCTCTCTGTGCCCACCCCCACCCAGCGCACCTCGTGGGGAGGAGACTGCCCAGCCCTCCAGGAAGTGCTCATCACCCAACAGTGACAGGACCACTCCCGGCCACGTCTCCAGGCAAGCCCGGTACCCCCTCCTTCCGCCTCCGGAGTCTCCAGTGTTGTAGGCCAGGCTAAAAATAGCCAGGCAGGCCGCCACCCCGAGGGGTGGTGTGTGCTGGGCGCGGACACATGAGCCATCCATTCAAGGAGCGGGCTGCCTGGAGCCCAGGAAGTCTGTGGTGCGGACTGCGCTGGCCTTTGCCACTGGGGCGCAGGACTCTCTCCGAGTGAGCTTCGGGAAGGAAGTGCCTCTGACAGGCAGCGGGATGGGCAGCGGTGTGGGGAAGACCATCTGGGCTCTGGGACTCTTGCTGCTGCTGCTGCTGCTTGGTGCTGGCTCTGCCCGGAACCTGTGGGAAGGAGGGCTGCAGGTGAGGCTGCTAAGAAGCCCCGCGTGAGTGCCGGGTGGGAGCTGGGCCCCTTCTGCGGCGGGAGGCATCGGGGTCCCCACACACTGTGTATGTGCCTGCACCTTGCCTCCGCCCAGGCTGAGCCCGGCAGGTGTCTTTGTATCTCAGTGCTGGAGGTGGGGGATGGCCCGGGGCCTCAGCCTGCAGATGGCTCCTTGCCTGTAGGTACAGAGGCAAAGCACGCGGAAACGCAGGGGTGTGGCTGGCTTCTGCTTTCTCCTGGAGCAGAGCACCTGGTGCGAGAATCCAAGGCCTTGGGGTCGGGATTTCGTCTGGGCACCGCGACCACACGCTCACAAAGTGTAGTTTGCACTCATTGGACTTTTTATTCATTTGGGAAACTTTAGTAGATGCCACTTGGACAGGCATTGAGGTGTGTCCCGTGGATACAGGAGGAAGGAGACATCAGCTCCCTCCCACCCTCAAAGGTCTCATGGTAGAATAGGGGGCCGATGGGATGGGAGGCGGGCAGGGCAGAGCATGCATCTTGGAGCCCTGTCCGGGTATGTACCCCAGCTCTGCTGTCTTAAGCTGTGTGCCTTCAGCAAGTTGTTTGACATCTCTGAGCACCCATGAGCTCATCGGTAACAGACAAGGTGATGCGTGCCTTTCAACCAATCCCCTGTTTGCTGAGCACCATCACAGGCTGTGGGCTCACAGACATGGATCCCTGCCCCGTGGAACCCGTGCTCCATGAGGGCAGCAGAGAATACGCGAGCAGTAAAAGGAAAGTACAGTGCCCTCAAGGAGGGCACTGGTGGTGTAGTGGTTAAGGCATTTGGCTGCTAACCAAATGGTCAGTGGTTCGAAGCCACCAGCCCCTCCATGGAAGCAAGGTGAGGCAGTCTTCGTCCATAAAAATTGACAGCCTCAGAAACCCAGTGAGTCAGAATCAACTTGATGGCAGTGAGTTTGTTTTCTTGGTTTGGTGTAGTGTGCTCAGTGACAGATTCTGGGGACAGAGAAGAGAGCAAGGGCACTAGGGTAACAGGCATGTTGTACTTTCAGGCAGCCCCTCTCCCCATGCGGAGAGCTGTCAGAGTGCATCCGGAGGCTCTCAGGTATAGAGGATCAAAAGGCAGCACCAACGCTGTCGACGCAGGTGCCAGTGTCTGGCAAGCGCTGTACACAGAGCACCTCGACTCGGGGACTTGTCGTCAGATAACTGGGAAATCAGTCAGTGCTTGCCTCTCGGGGTGGAGTGCATGTCCCCGGGGCAGGCCTAATTCTGTCTTGTTCAGTGCGGTGTCCCTGGTGTCGTGGGAGGGGCCTGTCACCGAGGAGGTGCCCAACACATTCTTGTAGTTGAGTGACAGCAGAATGTATTGGAAGCATGGAAGAAAACACGTGCAGCTCTTTCCTGGAGAGTCAGGGAGGGTTTTCCAAAAGTTGGGGACGTTTGACTTGGGGTTTGAAGGGAAGAATAGGAGTTTGCCAGGTGGAGAAGAGAGACCAAAAAATCAAAACTAACACACTGCTGTTGAGTTGATGCTGAACCATTCTGACCCTGTATGACAAAGTAGAACTTCCCCATAGGGTTTCCAAGGCTGTAAATCTTTATGGAAGCAGATTGCCACATCTTTCTCCCACAGAGCAGCCAGCGGGTTTGGTTAGTACAGCCGACCTTTCAGTTAGCAGCTGTGCTCTTACCACTGTCCTACCCAGAGCTCCTTAAGAAGAGGGAGAGGGGTTGTTGAATGACTCCAGGCATGATAGGGTGCATGAAACTATTAAAGCTAATCTCTGCCACCGGGGCAGCAGGTACTCCCGGGGAGGGACAGAAGGCCACATGGGAGTGGAAAGGAGTAATAGAGATTGAAATGATGATAGGTGAGATGGTGTAGTCAGTCCCAGCAGGCTTCTTGGAGGAGGTGGAGAGCCTGACCAGCTCTTAAAGGGTTAAGAATTAAAAGGAGGAAGGATGTTCTTGAAGGAAGGCTCAGCATGAGCAAAGGCTCCGGGGCAGGAACACTGCCTCTGGGAGACCCTGAGGGTCCTTGACAGAGGGGAGAGACGCCCAACAGGTGATTTAGTCCACTTTGCTTCCCGGCCTGCACAGAGATGTCCCAAGCAGCATCTGATTCTTTCTCCACTCTGTCCCAGGGTGCCAGAGTAGGGGGCCCACGACACCTCATTAGGAGGGCCAGGGAGGCTGGGCGGGCGCAAGGGCTGGGCTTCAGAAGGCTAATGAACTCCCAGTCACTATCTGTCATCTGCAGGTGCCTCACTAAACTAGGTGCCTCACTAAACTGCAGCTTTCCCCAGGTATCAACAAACACAGCCCCTCCCCACAGCGAGACACGAGAAGGTTTGTGTGAACGAACCTCAGAGGGCACCCCAGGGAAAGATAGCCTCTTGACTGGTGGCTCAGAGGACAGAGAGGCTGGGCTGGTGCCTGGCCGTGGAATTCATACAAGTGGTATTTCTAATGAGCTGTGTGATCTTGAGCCACTCACTTCGCCTCTCTGGGCCTCAGTAGCAGCCTTAGTAGCAGTGAAGTGAAAGTGGGAGGCCAGATGACCTCCAGAGCCCTTTCAGTTATGATTCTGATTTCTGTGCACGTGTCTGACAGGGAATTTAGGGGTGATGGGAAGCAGCCTCACATATGCTCAGTGGGCACCCCCTCCCCGCCATGCTCTGCGTGGCCCGGGACCCCAGTGGGCTCAATGATGGCACGGTGGTAGTTTGAAATCAGCCACGATGGGAGTATTTATACCATGGGAACTGTCGAAGGTAAGCACTGCCCAGCCCTCTGCCCTGGGGGTAACGCCTTTGACCTTGGAGCTCAGGCCCTATCCTTTTGAGATGGGACTGGAGGACTAGCTGAGTTCCACACAGCCTCAGCCTGCCCCCTGCTCAGCGTGTGGCTCTTTGTTTAGCAGCCGGCCTCTTGGTTGGAGTGGGGCCCGGGGAATTTCCCAAGGCTGTTTGGGCTTTGTGGTCCAGACACTCTGTAGCCTCCTCAGTGCCTTACATCCCCACGGGTGGGCCTCTTCTAATGAGAAGTCCCACATCTACCGCCTTCTAGCTCCGCGACCTTGAGTGTATTTCATCCCCTCCCTAGGCCTGTTTTCTCATCGGCAACCTGGGATACGGCAATGCCTGCCTTGAAGGGTTACGTGAGAAGGCCGTGTGCTTGAAGCCTTTTGCCCAGTGCCTGACACACATTCTCTATGTGTGCACTACTAAAAAGAAAGAAGAGGAATCGGCATGTTAGGCTGAGTAAGACGGAAGCAGGATGTTTGTAAATAGTCCACTGACTTTCTGGGGAGCTCAGACACCCTTCTGGGGAGCTGGTGTTTTGGCTTTTTGTTCCTTCCACTGAATGAAGTTCTCAGGGACCACAGTGTACCAAACATGTCACTGTCTTCAGCCACGCGTTCACTGTGTGTTTCAGTGAATGCAATTCACGGGGCCCACGATGTACTGAGCATGTCACTCTGTGATGGACCGAGCATGTCACTGTGTCTCCAGCCGTGTCACTCTTGATGGACTGAGTGTGTCAGCACGTCTCTCAGGTGAGGTCCCTGAGAGCCATCATGGCTGTGGGTGTGCACCCCTCGGCTTCCTCCTGACACAGCTGGGAGCATGGTGCTGTGTGTGCCTCACCCAGGACCACTCCCTCTCTGGTCCATCTTCCGGAGGGCGAGTCTTTGCTAATGAACACAAACGCCTCATGGTGGCCAGTGGCAGCCCTACAACTCCAGCGCCCCAGGTTCCCCAGCCTGCTCCTCCGCCCTGTTATTTCTGTGAGCTCTTGAGGGTCTGCCGACACAGACGGCCCTTTCCTTTCTCTGCCTAAGGTGGGGAGACTGAGAGGGGCGACCCTCCTGCTCTCCCCGCACCTGCGCTGTCTGCGTTCCCTGGTCTTCCGTCTGTGAGCACTTGCTGGCCTGAAGCTATGCTCGGCCACATGCAGGGCAGGCCAGGGTGCCAGGAGCAGGGCCAGGGGCACACGTGGGGGCTGGGGCCACTGGCTCTGGCCATCTAACCCTGGGACAGGGCTCCCCTCCCCGGTTCGGTGCCCTTTCCTGATGGTCCCCTGGGCCCAAGCTCCGGGCTCCCAGCGGCCGCTGCTCACTAAATCTCCCCATATCGGCTGCTGCCCACCCTTGCCTCCCTTCCCCACTCTCCTGCTGGAGCTTCCTTGCCGCCCCTCCCAAATACACTCCGCCAGACCCCAATCACTTACCGTCGAGTCAGTCCTGACTCGCCCCCGGTGTGTCTGGGTTCTCGGTGGCTGACTTTGGGGAGCAGATCAGCAGACCTTTCCTCTGAGGCATCTTGGGGTGGTTTTGAACTGCCGACACTTCCTGACTAGCTGAGCACTTAATTGTTGGCACCACACAGGGATTCCCCTAAGTACGCTCCTGCTCTCAAGTCGTAGTCTCAGGCCTGCTTCCGGGAAAGAAGAGTCAGCTTCCATTGCCTGTAGCTGGCAGCCCTGACTTAGAGACGTAAGAACAGTTCCCAGATAAGGAAATGGAGGCCACAGGGGTGGTGGGTCGGTCTGCACCATCTCTGCCAGACACACGGTACCTGAAGTCCTGCTCCTTGACAGACAGGAGATCGTGCCCCTGTAGTGTCATGATGACCATTGAGAGGCCTCCATCTGACGAGCAGGGGTGCTTAGTGGGTCCTGGGGGGCGCATGGCCCAGGCTCTTGGCAAGCCCTGGGTTCTGCTGGGGGCTGGAGAGAGTGGGGTGACCTTCCAAACAGAGACACCACATGGTGGCCTTGGCCGTGCCCTAGGGTCAGGCACAGAGCCTAGGGCATCGCAGGCTCTCATCACATCGTTCAGAATCTGTGCTACAGATGGAAGGTGGGTGGGTGGGAGGAAGAAAAGTGACTGTCACTTTCTCCTCTGGACCTCAGCCGCCTCTACTGTTTCCTGCCCTGAACCTCCAGGTGGAAAGGAGAGAGGGGAAGAGACACCCCATGTCCCAGGATGGTTACAGTCTGGAAGCACACCCAAGGGGCAGCGGGAGTATGGGGGATCCCAAGTGCACACTGGGAGCAAGGCTGGAGGGGGGTTGGGGTCCCCTCTGTGTCCCCAGGTCTTTGTGTGGTTACAGTCTGGGAGCACATGTGAGAAGCAGGCGGGAATGTGAGGGAATCCCAGGGGCCCCCTGCGAGTGAGGTGGGAGGGGTGGATGGGGTTCCCGTCTGTCCCCAGCACTGTGTTTCAGGGGTTCAAGCAGGGCCTTGTTTACCACACCAGTGTCTGGTCATCTGGGCCTCAGAGCCACCTCTCACAAAAGCCTTTCCCTGGACGTCCAGTTCTGATTCCCTTAAGCATCCTCGTAGCATCCTGACTTTGCTTTGTGGCACTGGTGCCATTTTCATCGTTGGCATGATTTGTTTTTTACTGTGGTTTGGTTTGGTTTGCCAGTAGCTGTTTTTGCAGCTGACAGAAGCATGGGACTAGTTTGCATTACCTATGTGATATTTTGTTTAGTGTCTGTCACTTGTCCTGGAATCGTGAGCCCGGGAAGGCAGAGGCGGGGTCTTCTGGTTGACTCGGTTCCCTCCAGACCAGCCCCAAGCCTGGCACGTCGGCACGTCACAGGCCTGGGAATCGTGAATTTGTTACTAAGTGACTAGATACATTATGTCAGTGTCAGCGCGCTTCCCTTCCAGAGCAGAGCAGAGGGAGTAAGCAGCCTGTAGGAGACTTTCAAGGAGTCCTGGAGATGCAGTGGTTAAAGCATCTGGCTGCTAACCAAAAGGTTGGTAGATTAAACCCACCACCCTCTCCACAGGAGAAAGATGTGGCTGTCTGCTTCCATAAAGATGAGGGCTCTGAAAACCCGATGGGGTAGTTCTACTCTGTCCTGTAGGGCAGCTGTGGTTCAGAATTGACTCGATGGCAGTGAGTTTGGTCCCTTGGGTTTTAGACTTTCAAGATCTCTGGGTGGCACAGACGGTTTCACTTGACTACTACCCCAAAGTTTGGGGGTTTGAACCCACCTAGCAGTGTTGTGGAATAAAGGCCTGGCAGTCTGCTGCCATAAGATTGCAGCCAAGAAAACCCTGCGGGGTGTTCTGTTCTGTAACACCCGAGCACTCCGGAAGTCAGCATCAGCGCCACACCAGCGGGTCCGGGTGACTCTAGGAGCCTGCGAGGCACCCAGCGGTGCTCCGAGGAGTCTATTGTTTGCAGTCTTGTTCTCGCACACACTGCAGGTCGGCTGTGACTCCAGCCCTGGTGTCCTGTGTGCGCTCTCGGACTCTCAGGACCTCTCCCAGGAAGTCCATTAGCCTTGCCCCAGACCCCAGAGCTGAGGTCCCAGAGCCAGGAAATGGCATTTGCCAAGCATCTGAACTCTCACCCTCTGTTCCAGGAAGGGATGTATTTTTAGGTCTTTGACGTGTTCCAGCAGAAGAGCGAGTCACACCTGACGACCACGGCTTTCTTCCTCCACCCAGAGAGGCCGTCTGGGGTGCCCTTGTATAGCTCTGGCTGCATGATCTCTGGGGGGCTCTTGCTGGGAAGGGGGGCACTGAGGGAGGAACAGAGCTCACTGGGGCCAGCTTTAGCGTCTGGATTCTTCTTCCCAAAATGGCTTACATTGCCTTTTCCCTAACAATAAACGTACTGACATTTTTGAAAAAAATCAGACTATAACAAAATTAGAAATCAGTGAATTATCTAAATTCTTTCTCTGAGATGTAGTTCAGTTGACATTTTGGTATGTGTGTGTATGCGTGTATGCATGTGTATGTCTATATGTCCTCGGAAGGAAGGTTGGGCAATCTACTTCCATAGTGATACTGCCTCGGAAACCCAAGGAGGGGTCACTGTGAGTCGGGGCTGACTCGATGACACATAACAACAACAACAACAACAACGTGTATGTGTGTATGCACGTGTGTCTGTGTATGTATAGGAGCTCTGGTGGCGTAGTGCCTAAGGCATTTGACTGCTAAGCAGAAGGCTAACAGTTCAAACCTACCAGCTACTCTGCAGAAGGAAGACTGGGCAATCTACTCCCATAAAGATTTACCACCTGGGACACCCAAAGGGGTTGCTGTGAGTTGGAACAGATTCGATGGCAGTGAGTTTGGTTTGGTTTTGTGTGTCTGTATGTCCGTGTATATGTGTATGTATGTATATATGTGTATAGGCATGTGTACGTGTGTCTTTGTATGTGCATCTGTATATCTGTGTATATGTATATGCATGTATATATCTGTGTATGCATGTGTATGTGTGTCTTTGTATTGTGTCTGTATGTCCGTGTATATGTTTGTGTATGTATGTATGTATATATGTATATATTCATGTGTATGTGTGTCTGTATGTCCGTGTATATGTGTATGTATGTATATATGTGTATAGGTGTGTGTATGTGTGTCTTTCTATGTGTGTCTATATGTCTGTGTATATGTGCATATGTATATGCATGTATATATGTGTATATGTGTGTGTATGTGTCTTTGTATGTGTGTCTGTATATCCATGTATATGTCTATGTATATGTATATGCATGTATATATGTGTGTGTGTGTCTTTGTATGTGTGTCTGTATGTCCATGTATATGTCTGTGTATATGTGTATGTATGTATATATGAGTATATGTGTGTATGTGTGTTTGTATGTGTGCCTGTATGTTTGTGTATATGTCTGTGTATATGTGTATGTATGTATATATGTGTTTGTGTATGTGTGTATGTGTGTCTTTGTATGTGTGTCTGTATGTCTGTGTATATGTTTATGTATATGTATGTATATATTTGTATATGCATGTGTATGTGTGTCTGTATGCCTGTGTATATATTTCTGTATATGTATATACATGTATATATGTGTGTATGTGTGTCTTTGTATGTGTGTCTGTATGTATATATGTTTTTGTATATGTATATGCAGGTATATTGTGTGTATGTGTGTCTGTATGTCCATGTATATGTCTGTGTATATGTGTATGCATGTATATATGTGTATGTGTGTGTGTCTTTGTATGTGTGTCTGTATGTCCATGTATATGTCTGTCTATGTATGTATATATGTGTATATGTGTGTGTATGTGTGTCTTTGTATGTGTGTCTGTATGCCCGTGTATATGTCTGTGTATATGTGTATGTATGTATGTGTATATGCGTGTGTATGTGTCTTTGTATGTGTGCCTGTATGTTTGTGTATATGTATATGTATGTGTATATGTGTGTGTATGTGTGTCTATGCCTGTGTATATATTTGTATATATGTATATGTGTATATGTGTGTATATATGTGTGTATGTGTGTCTTTGTATGTGTGTACGTGTGTATGTGTGTCTACATGTATATGTTGTGTTTGGACATTTTCCTTAAAGCATTTATGTACAGCATACATTCATTTTCTTAATGGCACTTTTATTTACACTGGTTTTCTTTTAATTGAAGTGAAATTCACATCACATAAAATGAACCATTTTAAAGTGAACTTGTCACTGGCATTTAGAACATTCAAAACGTTATGCAACCACCACCTCTGCCTAGTTCCCAAACATTCCATGTCCCCAAAAGGCAGCCCTGTCCCCATTAGGCAGCAGCACCTCACCCCCCACCCCCAGCAGTCTGCTTTCCATCTCTCTGGCTCAGCCTGTTCGGGGCATTTCACATCAGGGGAGTCACACAGTCTGTGATCTTCTGTGCCTGGCTTACGCTTGCTGTCTTGTCCCTTGTGGTTTTCATGTACGTGCATATGGTGAATGGGTTAATGTGGTAGGTCTGCGTGTCTTTACGGCCCGCCTGGCACTCTGATGTGTGGATGGCTGCCGGCGTTTCTGTGTCAGCCTTCTTGGGTGTGTGCTTGCTGGGCTCAGCTTTCCACCACAGGAGCCCAGAGCAGGCATTTCCTTCACCCCGTTCCTGAAGTGATCAGAAGTTGGATGGCTTGGCCACACTGTAGAGGCGTCCGGAAATATCTCTTGAGGGGTGAGAAAGAACCACCAGGATGCAAACCTTGTTGTTGTTGTTGTTGTTGTTAGGCGCCATGGAGTCAGCTCTGACTCATAGTGACCCTATCTACAACAGAACGGAACACTGCCCGGTCCTGGGCCAGCCCCACAGCCCTTGCTGTACCCAAGTCCATTGTTGCAGCCACTGTGTCAACCCATCTTGTTGAGGGCCTTCCCCTTTTTTGTTCACCCTCCACTTTCCCAGGCATGACATCCTTCTCCAGGGAATGGTCCCTTCTGACAACATGACCAAAGTAGGTGAGAGGAAGTCTGGCCATTTTCACTTCCAAGGAGCATTCCAACTGCACTTCATTCGGGACAGATCTGTTCATTCTTCTGGCAGTCCATGGGACTCTCAGCATTCTTTGGCAACACAACTCAAAAGCATCAACTCTTCTTCGGTCTTCCTTATACATCATTGAGTTTTCACGTGCAGATGAGGCGATTGAAAACACCATGGCTTGGGTTAGGCGTACCTTCATCTTCAAAGAGACTTCTTTGCTCTTCAGCACTTTAAACAGGTCTTTTGCAGTGGATTTGCCCAGTGTAATTTGTCATCTGATGTCTTGACTGCTGCTTCCATTGGGGTTGACTGTGGAACCAAATAATATGAAATCGTTGACTACTTCAATCTTTTCTCCATTTATCACGATGCTGCTTATTGGTCCAGTTGTGAGAATTTTCATTTTCTTTATGTTGAGGTGTAATCCATACTGCAGACTGGTGTCTTTAATCTTCATCAGTAAGTGCTTCAAGTCATCTTGACTTTCAGCAAGCAAAGTTGTGTCGTCTGCATACCTTAAAAAAAAAAAAAAAAAAAAAAACTCACCGCTGTCGAGTTGGATCCAACTCATAGTGACCCTTCCTTAGGTTTCCGAGGTGGTAACTCTATGGAAGTAGATTGTCCAGTCTTCCTTCCGAGGAGTGGCTGGTGGGTTAGAACCACCAGCCTTCTGGTTAGCAGTCAGATGTCTTAGGCATAACTTGGGGGATGGTTTTTCTCCCAGTTAGGCGCACAGAACTGGAGAGTCCTCATCTGGGCTGCCACATGAGCTTATGGTAGATGACTGTTTGGAAACAGACTTCCTGCCCAGGCCCTTGGCTGAAAAGAAACAAAGATGGAGGTGTCTAGAGAGGCAGTGTAGGGGAGGTGAGGGCTGGCTGGGGCTGAAGAGTGGGACAGTGTGGCTGGAGGAGGGAGCAAGGGCACAGTGTATGTATTTGTGGGGGGGAGTCACCCAAGAGGGGAAGGGGCAGCAGCTGGGGTGTGACCTGCAAACCAAGGGCTTTGGCCTTGAACGTGCCTAGAGCTCTGGGAGGCTCCCGGACAAGGGGCGCAGGGCAGGGGGGGTGGGGTGTTTATCTATTTCTTAGAGTAAATCAGTTCTTTCTCAGAACTCCAGATGTTCTGTTTGAAACATCCTTGAGCATCACCTTGCAGGACATGAAATTTAGAACAAAACAAAAAATCCAATCCTTTAATCTGGGCCCCTGGGTGAAATCAGTTCTTTATCACCAACCACCATCTGTGGTTCCGCAGTACGCAGTACCGTAAATAGCCCTGCAGGACCATCCGTGATTCTGTAGTACCGTAAATAACCCTGGAGAGTTGACTTCTAAGGCATTTATCTCTTGTTCTCTCCAAATTTGAAGAATCTACGTTGGAATGTTTCGGGGAAACAGAGCACATCTAAAATGGATCTCTCTCCACACTCCTGTTTGAGGAGGTGTGGGGAGGGTGGGGGAAGGGCTTTCCCTTCTGATCTCCAGGTTCCAGTAAATTTCATAAATGAGGCTTGATGTGAACGCAGGCAGGTGGAAAATGCCTTGTCCCCTGCCCCCAGGCCCGAAGCTCCCAGGAGGCCGAGGCAGCTGTCAGATTAGATTAGGATTAGAGATAGGAGCCCTAACATAGGTCCAGTTTCATTAATTCTGTAGAAAATGAAGTAAGAGCTAATGGGCTAGGATTATGCCCCCTGCTTACAGCTTGAAAATCCTTTGCAGTGGTGCAGGAATTAGGGAGATGGGCGGGGTAGGGCAGTGAAAGACTGGACCTGGAGTTAAGGCACCCAGGCCCTGTCTTCCCCTGTGTCTTTGAGAAGATCCACCCCCTCCTTAAGCCTTCCTTCCCTTATCTGTGCAGTGTTGGCTTTGTGTTCACTTGTGCTTTTCACAGGCAACATGCACATCATACATAAGCGATGGTCCCTCTGGGTGAAGCAGGGGTGGGGGCACATTCCCCCTCCCCAGGCAGCCCCTGAGGCTCCCAGGAGCAGTTTGGAAACCACTGGTCTTGGAGAGCCTACGGAGTCACACAGAGGGCCTACTCAGGACCTGCTCCCGGTGACCTGTCACCCCCTGCAGCATCTGGAGGGCAGCGCATAGGGTTTGCAGCCCTGTTCCTGGCAGAGGCCTTTTAGATGAAAGCAATGGCTTAGGCAAAGAGGGGAGTGGGGTATCCCAGGGGGATTTTTCTCCATTGATCTAAATCTATGTATGTGAGCGAGAGAGAGAGGGAGAGACAGAGAGAGAGAGAGAGAGAGTCTGTGTGTGTAAGACCTGCCTTGCTCATACCCACTATCCAAACCAGAAACAGAACTGTGTCAGTGGCATGGTGGGGTCCCATGTCAGGAGAACCCAGGGTGGGCTGCATGATGTGACTCACTGTCCCAGCCCCCCGTGCAAAGCGTTTGTTTCCTGCCCACTCAGCCCCGCTTGCTGTGTGCTGTGTCTCCTGTATAACTTTTCACTGAAACACACACACATGGTGGAAAGGGCACCCACTGTAACTGCACACACTGTGCAGCCAGCACTCGGACCATGAATCCGAGCCCTGCCAGCCCCGAGGCGCCTGTGCCCCGCCCAGGCACTGCCCACCCAGCTGCCTGCTCTCCCAGCTGCCCACACCAGAGACGGGCTTTGGCTGTTTGGAACTTTATACCAATGGGATCAGACTGTGGGTTCTGGCTTTTATTTTGCTCAATATGACATTTGTGAGATTTACTCAAGTCACTGCATAAATTTATTTGCGTGTGGTTTATAAATTCTCATAGCTCTGTACAAATACATGGGTTAGAAATGAGAACTATATAGATAAAAGTGCATGTTTTCCACGTGCAAATTTCTGTATGTATGTAGATGGCATGTATTTCATATGTACTACATGTAAATATATATGTAACATTTAAATGCATATGTTAAGTTATATTATAGCTTGTATATGTGTGTGTATGTATATACAGTCAGCCTTTCCTATCTGCAGGTTCTGCATCGGCACATTCAACCAACCAAGGACAGAAAACATTCAGGGGTGGGGGGAGAAAAGCAATGGAGTGGTCAGAGCCATCCCTCAAAGGCCAAGAGGGTTAAGTTCCGTTTGCCTACATTGTGTTATAAGAGCTGTGCTGGTGTAATGGGGAAGGAAGGCATTTGACTGCTAACCAAAAGATCAGTGGTTCGAACTGACTATCCACTCTGCAGAAGAAAGATGAGGCACTCCACCTCCGTGAAGATTTACAGTGTTGGAAACCCAGTGGGGGTTGCTATGAGTCGGAATCGACCGGATGGCAGTGAGTCTGGCTTTTGGTTTGAGAGGTGATTTAAAGTAGGGTGTGTGTGCAAGGCTATATGCGAATACTAGGCCATTTTATATAAGGCCCTCGGGCATCGCCGGATCTTGGTATCGTGGGGTCCTGGAACCGATCGTGGATCCGAGCACCGACTGTATAGATAGGTAGATGCCTGACTCACAAACTGTTCTCTAGCAAATAAACCAAGACTTGTGTGCTTTTTGCTATCGATGGGCTTTGAGCCATTTCGGTTGGGGCTTTCCTAAGGGACACACATCTTTTAATCTCCAGAGCAACCGTCTAGGCAGATTCTGCCAGGATCACTGTTTTCCACATGGGGAGGCGGAGGCACAGACAGGTGCAGGGCCCGCCCGCGGCGCACAGCTTGGAGTGGTGGCGCTGGGGGCTGCGGCCAACGCCACCTCTGTCTCCCCGCCCCCCTGCAGGCTGAGGAGGTGGGCGCGCCCGGGCAGGGCCCCCGGCCGCTCCGTGACGACAGCTGCCCCCCACCCCCACGCACGCTGCCGCCCGACGCGTGCCAGGTGGCGCGCTGCCAGGCGGACACTGAGTGCCAGCACCAGAAGCGCTGCTGCTACAATGGCTGCGCCTACGCTTGCATGGAGGTCGTGCCTCCCCCGCCAGGTAGGTACCACCTTGGGGCCTCTCCTAGGGGAAAGGGAGGCCTGGCTTACCTGGGCCACCTGGGCAGCTCACTCCACCTTGCCATGGCGTCTCCATGGCTTCACCAGTGGGAACAGTATCAGACCATGGAGCCCGTGCCCTGCCTTGCACACATGATCTCCTGCCGTGTGCACTCCACCTGCCTCGGACCTACAGTCCGTCAAACAACGCCGGGTTCAGGAAAATTGCCACATGCGCTGAGGAGGGAGGGGCGAGGCTTCTCATCAAAGCCCTGAGTGCTGACATTTCTATATTCCCGGGCAGTCCTGGGGGCCTGGAGTGTCCCCCGACCGGTGGGCGGGCCCTCCTTCCTTACTGATGGAGACCTGGGGGGCTTAGCAGTCCGGAGGGAAGAGTACCCCAGAGAGGGGTGCAGAGTCCAGCTAGTTACTTCCTCAGGTCCCCTCACCTGTACTGTGGGTGGGACAGGCCAGCTCACCCTGAGCACCCCAGGTGCCCAGCCGGCTTCCAGAGCAGACCATCAGCAGGACTGTCCTTGACTCGTGGTGCAGATCGCTGTGGGAGAAACAGACAGTGATTCTTCACCTCTGCAAGAGGGAGTTCAGATCCGTTTTGGAGAGGAGTCCTGGGTGCAGAGGGGAGGGGGAGCCACGAAAACATTGAGGGAGGCAGGAGGCGCTACCCCTGCCCCCCACATGCCCTCCTGTGTCGGGTAGACGTGGCCAGCCCTCGTGCACAGCACAAAAGCACTTGCCCAGGGCAGGCTGGAGTCCTACCCCCGTTCCATTCTCCAATCCCCAGGCTCTGTCTCAGCCCAGAGGAGAGAGTTGAACTGGAATGAACCAGTTCTACGCCCTGCGTTGAATGTGATTCAGTACATTTGGAATGGACGTGCAAATTCTCAGCAGGGGCTTGAACTGGAATGAATGAGCTGGCTGGAAGCCAGAGGAACCAAGATGAAGGGGTATCTTTGACCTGCCTACCTGTAGGGAACGGGAGCTCTGGTAGCTTAGTGCCTAAGGCACTTGACTGCTAACCAGAAGGCTGGCAGTTCAAACCCACCAGCCACTCCTCAAAAGGAAGATGGGGCAATCTACTTCCATAGTGATACTGCCTCGGAAACCCACGGAGGGGTCGCTATGAGTCGGGGCTGACTCGACGGCACATAACAACCTCCTCTAGGGAAGCACCTGTTTGTGTTTCTTTCACCAGGAGGGGGCACCATTCCACTTTTTTTTTTTTTTTTAATGATTCTGGGAGTCTTGTTGCCGTAGTGCCTAAGGTATTTGACTGTTAACCAGAAGGCTGGCAGTTCAAACCCACCAGCCACTCCTAGAAAGGCAGACTGGACAATCTGCTGCCGTAGAGACACCGCCTCGGAAACCCAAGGAGGGGTCGCTGTGAGTTGGAACCGGCTCGATGGCAGTGAGTTTGGTTTTTGGTTTTTCTTAGGGGCTAGCCTGGCCTTGACCACCTGCCCTGTCCTTGGCAGAAAGGCAGTGCTCAAAACACATTGTGGACGGTAATTACGAGTATTATTAAAGGTGCTGAGTTATTTGTCATCACTGTGAGCCCACCCCTGAAGGAAACAAAGTGTGCTTATTCTTGCCTGCCTTCCAACTCCTCCTCGGTCTTGGAGACGGATTGGGGTCAGCTTCTCAGACACCTTTGTCATTACCTTTGTAATGACGGCCCAAGGCACCTGCCACCTCTCACAGAAAGGGGCTGCCCAAGCAGGCTGCATTGTCTGAGGATTCAGCCAGGGGAACTGGTTCCTGGCTTGAGTGGCAAGCAGCCTGTGTACCAGTTCCCATCCAGGGCTTCAAGGGCATCAAACAGTATACCAGACTCCGTGTTTTTGTCACATTTCAGAGTCAAATTAAAGCGGCCATCATGCACAGAAGTAATCTCAGACATGTCTTATTAGCTCTCCAGAGTGCCAAACATTTCTTTAAAATTATTTGTCAGTATTTACAGATCAGGAGACTTATACTTTAATAGTCTAGATTTATAGCTGTGTTTTTTGTTTTTTAAATCAGAAGTTCTCAGGACCCTGGCAGTGACTGGCCAGGGCTAAACAGCAGCTAATCCATGGCCCTTACCTGGCCTGCTGTTCTCATGATGTCATCTGCCTGTCCCCAGAGACATGTGGTTGTCAACCTGTCTTTGGTTTTCTGAAGCTACTGTTTCAGTAACTTTCTGTTAAAAGTGTATCGGTTAGATGGCAGGTTGCGCTGCTGTAACAAAAAGGCCCATGGCAGGAGGTGGCCCTGCTCCACAGAGTCATGCAGGGACCTAAGGTCCCTGTCTTGTTGCTCTGCAGTCCAAGTCATGCCCTCATCCACATGGTCAGAGTGGCTCCCGGCCACAAGAAGAGGAGAGAAGGGGAGGAAGCATCTGTCGGTTCAAGGGCAAGATAGGAAGTGACCTCATCCCTTCTGCTCACCTCCTTTTGGCCAGAACTTAGTCTCTTAGCCATACCTGGCTGTAAGGGAGGCTGGGAAGAAGAGTTTCTAGCTTAGTGGCCCAGTGTCCAGCTAAAAGGCAGAGGCTTTATTTCTGAAAGGAAGAGGGGCCACCTATGCTGGGGAAGCACAGTGGTTTCTCCCATAAGGACCTTTTGTGTTTTATTATAAAATGTAGCCTCTCCAGCCACAAAGCTGGGGGCATTTCTCAGCAGCCTGACAGGGCCTAGATTTACCAGTTCTTTCATTAGTCTTAGACTGGCTGGTGGAGCCAAAACCTCGATGGCTTGGTGGCAACGGCTGGCTCCTGGATGGTCCTGAGGAGGTGTTGCAAGGTACCTGCAGGGGAGGTCCAGACCCAGTGGAAGAGCTGAACCCCTCCTTCCCAGGCTACTCTCAGCAAACAGAGCCGGGAGCTGCCTCTGGCCCCCCAGCCAAGCACACTGCCATCTGTGACCCTCCCCACTCCTGACACTGATGGGCTGAGGGCTGGGGCTTGGACAGGTCCTCAGAGACCCCACTACAGAGAGATTTGAACTTTCCCTAAAAATAGGGCCTTCTTGCAGGAGAGAAGGGTTGGGGTAGTATTTCAGAATCCCTAAAATCTTCCTTAAGAGTCACTGCTCCCTAGTGCTGAGGCTTCTTCTGGGATGGGGTCGGTGGGTGCAGTTTCTGAAAGGAGCGGCACACAGGCCTAGAGAGTTCCAATGTGAGTGCGAGTGTGTAAGTGTGTGGGAGTGTGTGTATATGTGTGAGTGTGTGCATGCGCGAGTGTGTGAGTTTGTATATGCGTGACTGTGTGTATATATATGTGTGTGAGTGTGTGTGGGTGTGTGCAAGTGTGTGAGTGTGTATATGTGTGAGTGTATGGGTGTATGTATGTGTGAGAGTGTGTGTATGTGTCCGGGTGCCTGGGACTGCACATTCTGTCAGCATGGCTGTGTCCACTAGGGTGTGCACATGGCCTGGACTTTGTGACAGCCCTGTGGCTGTGGGTCTGAGGACATGTATGAGGGTAACCATATGTATATATGTGTAAAGATGTGAGTGCAGAAGGATTTGAATGTAGGTAAACATGTATGTGTGGCTGCATGTGAGCATGTGTGTTTATGTGTGTCAATTTGTGTGGTTGTGTATGTGAGTGTGTCAGGATGTGTGTGTAATGAACACATGTGTACGTGTGTGACTATATGCATGTTACATGTGCCCAGAATTTGAGAACGTGTGTGTGTGTGTGTGTGTGACTGGGTGTATATACATGTATGTGGATAGGGTGAATGTGTGTGCGTGTCTGTGAGTGTATATGTGTGTCAGGATTGTGTGTGGGGTGAATATATATATATATGTGTGTGGCTGTGTACATGAGTGTCAGGATTGTGTGTGTGAACATGTGTGTGTCACTGCATGTGAGGGCATATTTGGGTGCATCTGACTTCAGACGTGTGTATGTGTATGTGTGCGCACGTGTGTGGACTCCTGGGAGAGAGACCCAGTGCCTAGCTTGGAATCTGAGGTGCAGCTGGGTGGCAGCCCCCTGGGGCAGGTGCAGCCCGCTGTCCCAGCAAGTCCCCGACCCCAGAATATGTCCCTCTTGCAGCAGAGACATGCAGTACCACAGAGGATGGAGCTGAGCCCTTGCTGTGTCCCTCAGGCTACGAGTGCCACATCCTGAGCCCAGGTGACATGGCCGAGGGCATCCCCAACCGCGGTCAGTGTGTCAGGCAGCGTCGGCAAGCAGGTGAGTGGGGATGCCTGTGTCCAGCCCCTGCCCAGCTCCCACTGTGACCTGACCCCCCGCCTGGGACCCTTGCCCCAAGATCACCCAGGGGCGCTGGTAGCCTGGTCGTAGCTCTTCCACTCATCCCTCTGTACGGAGCCTCCTCGTCCCTCCTCTGCCCTTTCCCTCCCAGGCCTGAGTGTGACACATGCCCTCGCATTGGCAGGCTGGCCTCAGCGCCCAGCTCTGCCCCTTCCTAGCTAGGTGACTTGGGCTCAATGCCTTCCCGTCTCCAAGCCTCAGTTTCCTCATCTGTGCAGTGGGCTCCTTGACACTGTTCTGGGGACTGAGATTGTTGATGTCAGCCCTCGGAGCAGAGCCAGGCAGCAGTGGGCACCGAGCAAACACTGGGTGTTTATATTGGAGGCTAACCGGAAGGTCGCTGGTTTGAACTCACGAGCTTCTCCGTGGGAGGAAGGTGTGTCAGTCTGCTTCCACAAAGAGCACAGCCTAGGAAGCCCCGCTCTGCCCTGCTCTGTCTCTGCCCCTATCCCTGTCCCGCGGGGCAGTCCTGCTCTGTCCTGTGGGGTCCCTGGGAGTTGGGATTGACCCCGCGGCAGTAGCGGCATGTCTCTTTGGGAGCCCCTGGGTGGTCCAAACAGCTAACCTGCTCGGCCACTCAGCACAAGGTTGGCGGTTTGAGGCCACCCAGGGCTGCCTCAGAAGACGGGTCGGGGACTCACTTCCTAAATATCACTCCCTGAGTGCCCCGCGGAGCGCGGTCCTGCTCTGACACAGGTCGCCGGGAGCCGCAGCTCAACACTGACGGGGCCTATCGCCAACGGGGACCTTGTGGTGGTCTCCTGGAGCTTTGCCGCAAGCCTCCGGGACAGTGACACCCAGCAGACAGGGCAGGGCACAGAGCAGAGTGCAGGCTCAGACGACCGAAGCAGGTTCAGAGCCTGCCTCTCCTCCTGGCACCGTGGGCAGCGCCTCAGCATCTTCATCTGTAAAGCTCAAGCGTGGGGGTTACTTCCTGGGGCGCTTTGAGCGAGAGAACACAGTGCTCAGACTGGTGCCCGAGTGCAGTGGGGCCTCAGTGAATACGTACCAGCACCAAGCCTGACTTCCGGAGGCGGGGGGACTTGCGTTCTGGAACCTGCCCAGACGCACACAGCTAAGGGGCTGTGATGGCTTTCTGAGGCGTCTGCCAGCTCCAGCGAACAAACCTGTCCTGGAAGAAGTGCAGCCAGAATGCTTCTTAGAAGTGAGGATGGCCAGACCTCGTCTCTCCTGCTGTGGTCATGTCAGAAAGGCCAGTCCCTCGAGAAGGGCATCAGGCTTGGTCAGTGGAGGGTCAGCAAAGACGCGGAAGAGCCCCAACGAGAGGGAGCGACACAGTGGCCGTGACGGACTCTATAGCGGTGACCGCGAGGAGGGGCGGGGCGGGGCGGTGTTCCGTCGTGTCAGGGTCAGGGTCGCGTCAGCCGGAATTGACTCCATGGCACCTAACAGCAACTACCAGCTCCAAAGCCTTTGTGGGTGTCTGTGTGTGTCTGTGTTCCTGTGTGTGTCTCTGTGCCTGTGTGTCTCTGTGTCAGTGTGTTTCTGTGTGTGTGTGTGTATATCTGTGTCTGTATGTGTCTCTGTGTGTGTCTGATTGTCTCTGGGTTTCAGCGTGTCTCTGTGTCTATATGTATGCCAGTGTGTGTCTCTGCGTGTCTGTGTATTTCTGTGTGCCACTGTCTGTATGTGTGTGTCTGAGTCTCTATTACATTTCTGTGTCTCACTATGTCTCTGTATGTGTATCTGTGTGTGTCTCTGTCATTGTGTTTCTGTGTGTGTGTCTGTGTATATCTCTCTGTGTGTCCTTGTATCTCTCTGTGTGTATCTGTGTCTCTGTGCATCTCTGTGTCTGTGTGTATCTCTGTGTGTGTCTCTGTGTCTTTGTGTAGGTCTCTCTATGTCTGTGTGTGTGTGTGTGATCTCCCCTCCCACGGGAGTGATTCTAACCTTCTAGATGGAAATGTAAGTGAAATTCCCCCTGGCCTCGTCCCCAGGGGGCTGTCACTTAGCAATAATTGTTGGTCATTATGTATGCAGTTGGAAACTTGGAGCAGCTTCCGGGACCAGCAGCCTCCAGGGAGGATGGAGCACTCACATCTCACATCCCTTTTCCCAGAGATGAAGTCCTTCACTTAAGGCTTGTTTTTTAACTTCTTACTTGAAATAATTTCAAACGTACAGAAAAGCGACAAGCCCAGCAGCCTGGCCCTTCCCCGGGCCTCCTCCTCATTAGGTTGTCACCCTGTTGGCTTTCTCCTCCTCTCTCTCGGCATGGACCTGAGCCTTACTCCTGCTGGCCCCTGAGAAGCAGGTGCAGACGTCACACCCCCCGCTCGTTTGTGAGTCTGCCCTGAGAGCCTGCTTCTGAAGGCTGCCCGCAGACACTGCAGTGGGAACGTCGCCAGCCTGGAACTGGACGCTCCAGGGCTCCTGTCCCCACGACAGGAGCATGAGCACGTGTACGACCATTGTGCTTTTTGGAGAGTGGGGTCAGGCGGAGTCAGTGCCTTTGCGCAGCGGATTTGAGGCCGCTCAGAAGCCGAGTGTTGGGCCGAGATCTGGGAGACTGCCCCGCCTCTGACGAAGTGACTTCCAGGCTCAGGCAGCCTCCAGTGGGGGAAAGTCACTGAGTGAGAGTGACAGGTTTGGGAATAAATGAGGTTGGGCAAGGAGGGAAGCACCATGATGGCACGCTGGTTAAAACGCTCAGCTGCCTGCCAAAAGGTCAGTTCGAGCCCACCAGCCATGCCATGGGAGAGAGACGTGGCAGTCTGCTTCTGTAAAGACTGACAGCCATGGAAGCCCTCTGGAGCAGATCTACTCTGTCCTCTAGGGGCGCTGTAAGTCAGAATCAATTTGATAGTAATAGGTTTGGTTTTGTGATTTTGGGGGTCAGGAGGATGACTGGTTTCCAGAGGCACTTCTGTCCGTGTCCTGTGGCATTATGGGCAGAATCCAAGCCCGAGAGGTGACAGGGGGTGCCAAAGACCCCCCCCCAGGAGCACTGGTCATTGCCTTTGGAAAGTACTGTTGCTATGTGGCTGATGTGTGACTACCCCAAGGATGAGGGTTGGTTCTGTTCGGTTTTATCACCCTTGTAAAATAAATGTCAGTGCAGATCTTAAAGCACCTGGATGATTGTTGGCATGGCCACAAAACGAGAAAACCACCACGTGCAGCTTTACATACGTGTGAGCGGTCAGCAGTGTCTCTGTGGCTGGTTGGTGACTGAGATGCATCGTGTGTTCTGATCAGGTGCCCGTTCCTGCCCATCTGTGCTTTACTGCTGTGATAGGGCAGGGGCTCATGAGACGCAACGGCAGAGTTGGGTAGTGGAAAATCGTGGGATATTTGAGACAGAAATGGCCAATAATTGACCACTTTTTATATACAAAAATAGCAATTCCATATGGTTCCACCTAATATTTACATATAGGTGCTTTAAAGGAAATTATTTATTTCAGTTCTCATAATAATTTACGAGGTGCTAATTTTATGCCCATTTTCAGTTGAGAAAACTGAGACTCAGGATTAGTGAAGTGGTAGAGTGAAGACTGATGCTCAGGAGTTACTCTCTTGTTTATAGGAATCCTGTTAGTCTCTTGACTGGACTCCAAAACGCACCCTGCATTCCCCATGCAGCCTGGCCCATCACTGTCTGTGCGTTCATGTCCTTCCAGTGTCTTCATCCTGCAGTCACCTAGCCGTCCAGTTATCCAGCCAGTCATCCAGTCATCCACCCACCTAGTCAATCATCCATCCATCCATCCATCCATCCATCCATGCATCCAGTCACCTAGCCGTCCAGATATCCAGCCAGTCATCCAGTCATCCACCCACCTAGTCAATCATCCATCCATCCATCCATCCAGTCACATAGCCGTCCAGTTATCCAGCCAGTCATCCAGTCATCCACCCTCCTAGTCAATCATCCATCCATTCATGCATCCAGTCACCTAGCCATCCAGTTATCCAGGCAGTCATCCAGTCATCCACCCACCTAGTCAATCATCCATCCATCCATCCATCCATGCATCCAGTCACCTAGCCGTCCAGTTATCCAGCCAGCCAGTCATCCAGTCATCCACCCACCTAGTCAATCATCCATCCATCCATCCATCCATCCATGCAGTCACCTAGCCATTCAGTCGCCCATTCATCCATCCACCCACCTATCTAGTCAATAATGTGTCCATCCATCCATTCATGTATCC